AAGGCAGACGCTTAATGACTGAGCCACCTAGGCGCCCCTGTATCTCCTGTGAGAAAGTTTGTTGTTTCTCTTTACTGTTGTCTCTTCCTCTCTTTCTGGAATATCTGTTAGGTAGATATTGAACATCCTGGACTAACCTCATCATTCTACCAACCCCCTTCTATTTTTTGTCCTAATTTTAGGATGATTTCTTCAACTTTATTTTTCAACCCTCATTGATTTTTTTTTTCCTCTAAAAGTTTTTAAGGTTACTTTTTATAACATTCTGCTATTCTTTTATGGATGCAATGTTTAGTCTGAAAAAAAATCAGTTGTTGTTGTTTTATGTTTTTTTTTCTGTTGCTTGCGTTGTTTCCTTTAGCTCTGAGTGCCTCTGTCTTAGTCCATTTGTTTTTGGACTCTTTATTTTATAATAAAGGCCTTCTTTAAAGGTCTGGTGCTCCGTGGCTGTTTTGCTTTTGCTGGTACTTAAGTAATCGTTGCTGATTCTCTGGTTTCCTGCTTTTAACATGTAAACATGGCTTCCATTGTTTAGGGAGCAGTGCTGTGGGGAGGGAGGTCTCTGTTCTGGAGGATTGGATCTCACTCATACTGCTTCTTGGCATGTCTTTCATCCCAGCCTTCTGGATTTTTTTTGGTTTGTTTGTTTGTTTGTTTTTAAAGATTTTATTTATTTTATTTGAGAGAGAGAATGAGAGAGAGAGCATTTGAGAGGGGGGAGGGTCAGAGGGAGAAGCAGACTCCCTGCGGAGCAGGGAGCCCTATGCGGGACTCCATCCTGGTACTCCAGGATCATGACCTGAGCCGAAGGCAATCGCTTAACCAGCTGAGCCATCCAGGTGCCCCCAGCCTTCTGTTTTATGTTCTCCCTTGCACGCATCTTTCTTTAGATTGCTGGTTCCTTCAATGCCTGGGCCTTTCAGAGGTTCTGGTAGCATACTGAGTTCCTCTCTAAACCCTAGTGTTTAGGTTTCAGCTTTTTCTGGTCTGTCAAGTCAGTTTCTGTTTGCCTGTTTTTTGTCTTACAGAATTTTGTTCACATTTCATCTGCTGCAGTTTCTTTTTCTAGTCCCTATGTCCTATTGAGTGGTAAATGACTATGTTTAGTCCACCAAGTTTAACTGGAAATCCTGTGCAGACGGTTTTTTTTGTTTTGTTTTTGTTTTTTTAAGATTTATTTATTTATTTTAGAGCAGGGGGTGCAGGGGTAGAGGGAGAGAGAATCCTAAGCAGACTCCATGCTGAGCACAGAGCCCAGCATGGGGCTCCATCCTATGACCTTGAGATGACCTGAGTCGAAACCAAGAGTCAGACACTTAACTAACTGCGCCACCCAGGAACCCCAACTTTTTTCTATTACTATAACATTAGAGCACAAACATACACATTTCCCCATTTCTTTGCATATCCCATGCTATAAAGGCCTTAAATACACTGTTCTGTACTTGCTTTTTATTTATTACTTATTTATTTTTTTAAAGATTTTGTTTATTTGTGAGAGAGAGAGAGAGAATGGATGCACAAGCAGGGGGCGAGGCGGGCAGAGGGAGAAGCAGGCTCCCTGCTGAGCAAGGAGTCCGACATGGGACTTGATCCCAGGACCCTGGGACCATGACCCGAGCTGAAGGCAGACGCTTAACCCACTGAGCCACCCAGGCATCCCCTTGCTTTTTAAAAAACACCTTTATATAATGGATTTCTTTAGTTTTTAACTATGAAGTTAAAAATCTTTAACTTCTTATTTTCTTTTTTTAAGATTTTATTCATTTATTTGACAGAGAGAGACACAGAGAGAGAGGGAGAACAAGGAGAGGGAGAAGCAGGCTTCCCGTGGAGCAGGGAGCCTGATTCAGGGCTTGATCCCGGGACCCTGGGATCATGACCTGAGCCGAAGGCAGTGGCTTAACCAACTGAGCCACCCAGGTGCCCGTGAAATTTGCTTTTTATTTGTCCTCTCCTAAGCCTAAGTAAGGAGATGCAGCTATTTATTAGCAGTTTCAGTTTGTCATTCTGAACCTCTTTAAAAATTAAAAAAAAAAATTTTTATTAGACTAATGCATGTGTATTATTATGGTCAAATGGTAATAATACAAAATATGAAGGGCAATAGTAGTCCCTTGCCCTTACCCACCCCTCATTCCCACTCTCAAGAGGCAGTATCTCTCGCTTCCTCATTCTTTTTTTTTTTTTTTTCTCAACAAAAGTGGCTCAACTTTATTGTAGGAAAGCTGGGGAGGGCCAGCAGGCTATATAAGGGTCTCTGCAGGAACTCCCATCGCTGATCAGGACTGCCAGGCCCCAGGTCTGTCTGGAAGGCAGGAGAGGATCAGCGCACTGCCCCCTTTGGTCCGTCTTGGGCCCAGGGGTCCAGGCCCTGGCTCCTTGGGGCTGAGGTAGGAAACAGCCTTCGCTGTGTTCCCCAGGGTCTCCAGCAGAGTGTCCACGATGTACTCGGAGTTGACGCAAACCTTGCTGGGCAGGTCAGTGTCAAACTCGGCTCCTGCCTGCTTGTTGAGCGCCTGACTGACTGCGTTAGAGCGGCCTTCACGAGTCACGTCCACAGAGACTCTTGCTGTGGCGTGACTGTGGATGTGGTGGTGGTGGCAGCCGCCACATCTGAGTTCTCTTTTGCTCTTTTTCTTCAGGGATCTAAATCCCATCCTTATGCTTCTTTTCCTTGTTGGGATTCTGTGAGAAAATGAAGTCCTAATGCCCCAAGGCATCCTTTGTGTATAATGAATTAGCTACACTCCTGTGCATCTAGAATTGAGAAAATAGTCACTCAAATCATTTTCTGTCTTCTGTGGATCAAATGAGGAACCCTGGTTTTAGAAATGCTGTGATACTAGCTGTTGACTTTATAGTGGAGGATGACAAGGATACAGCTCCTTAAACCACCATCCTTCCTTTCATCATCTCAGTGTAATTCTCAGTTCTTGTTACATTAACATTCATTGTTTAAATCTTATGACTATATAAATACTGATCACAGCTTAGCCACAGAGTATGCTGTGATTTTATTTCCTGTCTTTTGCAACTTTGTTTTTCTGGAATTAGTAAAACCTGGTGGATTTTTGTTTTGTTTTGTTTGCTTAGGTTTCTACATACCTATTGCTAGTTCATGGACAGATACCTTGCAAATCATAAATGTAAACACTCTCAAAATGGCCACATATAAAGCAAGTTTCCTGGTCCTCTCTCTCCTGGGGTCTTCTGTTTGCATTCTCCAGCCTAGGTTGTTGTGGGCTCTGGTCCTGGCATTTGCCCTCACTATCACGTCGGGAATTCTCGTCACTTCTGTCCTCTGTTGTATCTTCTGTTTCCTGGATCCCTGGTCATCTTGCTGCTAGTACTTCTTTTTTTAAGATTTATTTCTTTATTTTAGAGAGAGAGAGCACAAGTGGGAGGGACAGAGAGAGAGGGAAGGGGAATCTCAGACTCCGTGCTGAGCAAGAGCCCAATGTGGGGCTTGATCTCATGACCGTGAAATCATGACCTGAGCCAAAACCAAGATCAGAAGCTTAACGCTGCGCCACTCAGGCACCCTTTGCTTCTTGATTTATGCCTTTGTTTTGACAGAACACATTCTTCTTTTTTCCTTTTAAGATTTATTTGAGAGAGAGCGCGTGCGAGCAAGGGCAGGCAAGTGGGGGGAGGGGCAGAGAGAGAGGGAGAGAGAGAATCTCAAGCAGACTCTATGCCCAGCATAGAGCCTGATAATGTGGCTTGATCTCACAACCTGGACATCATCTGAGCCAAAATCAGGAGTTGGACACACAACCGACTGAGCCACCCAGGTGCCCCTTGACAGAACATATTCTTACTAGCTTTCTGGGCAAAGGCTGCATGGAAAGTAAATTTTTGGAGAACTTGAATATGACACATGTCATTTGAAGACATGATTGATAGTTTGGCTGACTGAATTCTAGGTTGGAAAATCATCAGAAGGTTCCTTCAGAATTGTGAAGACATTACTTCATTATCATGTTGAGTTTGGAGAATTGTCATTTGGGTTCTTGCTTTTTTGTTTATTTTCTGTGGAAGCTTTTAGGATCTTCACTTTATCCCTCATGTGCCCCCTTCCCTTTCAAAATTAATTGATCGGGGTGCCTGGGTGGCTCAGTTGGTTAAGCAACTGCCTTCGGCTCAGGTCATGATCCTGGAGTCCCGGGATCGAGTTCCGCATCGGACTCCCTGCTCAGCGGGGAGTCTGCTTCTCCCTCTGATCCTCCCCCTCTCATGCTCTCTGTCTCCCATTCTCTCTCTCAGATAAATAAATAAAAAATCTTTAAAAAAAAATTAATTGATCGTATGCTTGATATAGGGGTCTTCTTTTGTATCTTGTATGTGGTAAGTTCTTTCATCTGGAAATTTGTATCTCCCAGTTGTTTTTTGTTTTTTTTTTTTAAAGATTTTATTTATTTGACAGAGAGAGACACAGCGAGAGAGGGAACACAAGCAGGGGGAGTAAGAGAGGGAGAAGCAGGCTTCCCGCGGAGTGGGGAGCCTGATGCAGGGCTTGATCCCAGGACTCTGGGATCATGACCCGAGCTGAAGGCAGACGCTTAATGACTGAGCCACCTAGGCGCCCCTGTATCTCCTGTGAGAAAGTTTGTTGTTTCTCTTTACTGTTGTCTCTTCCTCTCTTTCTGGAATATCTGTTAGGTAGATATTGAACATCCTGGACTAACCTCATCATTCTACCAACCCCCTTCTATTTTTTGTCCTAATTTTAGGATGATTTCTTCAACTTTATTTTTCAACCCTCATTGATTTTTTTTTTCCTCTAAAAGTTTTTAAGGTTACTTTTTATAACATTCTGCTATTCTTTTATGGATGCAATGTTTAGTCTGAAAAAAAATCAGTTGTTGTTGTTTTATGTTTTTTTTTCTGTTGCTTGCGTTGTTTCCTTTAGCTCTGAGTGCCTCTGTCTTAGTCCATTTGTTTTTGGACTCTTTATTTTATAATAAAGGCCTTCTTTAAAGGTCTGGTGCTCCGTGGCTGTTTTGCTTTTGCTGGTACTTAAGTAATCGTTGCTGATTCTCTGGTTTCCTGCTTTTAACATGTAAACATGGCTTCCATTGTTTAGGGAGCAGTGCTGTGGGGAGGGAGGTCTCTGTTCTGGAGGATTGGATCTCACTCATACTGCTTCTTGGCATGTCTTTCATCCCAGCCTTCTGGATTTTTTTTGGTTTGTTTGTTTGTTTGTTTTTAAAGATTTTATTTATTTTATTTGAGAGAGAGAATGAGAGAGAGAGCATTTGAGAGGGGGGAGGGTCAGAGGGAGAAGCAGACTCCCTGCGGAGCAGGGAGCCCTATGCGGGACTCCATCCTGGTACTCCAGGATCATGACCTGAGCCGAAGGCAATCGCTTAACCAGCTGAGCCATCCAGGTGCCCCCAGCCTTCTGTTTTATGTTCTCCCTTGCACGCATCTTTCTTTAGATTGCTGGTTCCTTCAATGCCTGGGCCTTTCAGAGGTTCTGGTAGCATACTGAGTTCCTCTCTAAACCCTAGTGTTTAGGTTTCAGCTTTTTCTGGTCTGTCAAGTCAGTTTCTGTTTGCCTGTTTTTTGTCTTACAGAATTTTGTTCACATTTCATCTGCTGCAGTTTCTTTTTCTAGTCCCTATGTCCTATTGAGTGGTAAATGACTATGTTTAGTCCACCAAGTTTAACTGGAAATCCTGTGCAGACGGTTTTTTTTGTTTTGTTTTTGTTTTTTTAAGATTTATTTATTTATTTTAGAGCAGGGGGTGCAGGGGTAGAGGGAGAGAGAATCCTAAGCAGACTCCATGCTGAGCACAGAGCCCAGCATGGGGCTCCATCCTATGACCTTGAGATGACCTGAGTCGAAACCAAGAGTCAGACACTTAACTAACTGCGCCACCCAGGAACCCCAACTTTTTTCTATTACTATAACATTAGAGCACAAACATACACATTTCCCCATTTCTTTGCATATCCCATGCTATAAAGGCCTTAAATACACTGTTCTGTACTTGCTTTTTATTTATTACTTATTTATTTTTTTAAAGATTTTGTTTATTTGTGAGAGAGAGAGAGAGAATGGATGCACAAGCAGGGGGCGAGGCGGGCAGAGGGAGAAGCAGGCTCCCTGCTGAGCAAGGAGTCCGACATGGGACTTGATCCCAGGACCCTGGGACCATGACCCGAGCTGAAGGCAGACGCTTAACCCACTGAGCCACCCAGGCATCCCCTTGCTTTTTAAAAAACACCTTTATATAATGGATTTCTTTAGTTTTTAACTATGAAGTTAAAAATCTTTAACTTCTTATTTTCTTTTTTTAAGATTTTATTCATTTATTTGACAGAGAGAGACACAGAGAGAGAGGGAGAACAAGGAGAGGGAGAAGCAGGCTTCCCGTGGAGCAGGGAGCCTGATTCAGGGCTTGATCCCGGGACCCTGGGATCATGACCTGAGCCAAAGGCAGACGCTTAACGACTGAGCCACCCAGGTGCCCCAAAAATCTTTAACTTCTTAATGTGTATCCATAACTTCTCTCCGACCTATTAATGATCAGTTAGGTCATTTCAACTTTTAGCTACTGTAAGAATGCTGCTCTGACCATCCTTTTACATTCGTAATTTCGTTCTTATGACAGGATTTTTGTAGGATTTTTTTTCTCATTGAATTCTTGGATCAGAGGGTATTTGTGTTCTGAATTTTAACAGATAATATAATTGCCCTTAAAAGAAAAATAAAATGTCCATGCCAGTTTATATCCAGGCAACATAAAACACGGTTTTATGACGTGGATTCTGAAGCCTGACTGACTGGGTTTGAATCCTGCCTCTTTCTCTCATTTGCTGGATGATCTTGGCAAATTCCTTAATCTCTTTAGTTTCCTATTCTGTGAAATTGGGATAATAGCACCTCCTTTGTAGAGCAGGTGTGAAGATTCAGTAAGGTAGTCTAGGTAAAGTGCTTATACAGTGCCTGATACAAGGCAGAGTAGTGCTCTGTTAGCTTTCATTTATTGTTTGTGTTTACTGGGATATGACCAAAAAATAAACATTCTGTATTTTCTTCAACAGTTCTTTCTGTGGAATTTAATGGAAAATTCATAGGAAGCCTTTTAGATACCTTTTAAAACTACATTTTGTGTTAAATGTAAATTACAGGTGGACAATCATTTGCCTATTGTATTCACTTTACACTGTTGAAAAAGTCTGTAATATTTGTTGATTTGGTTGTGTTGTTTTTGTTGCATAGCACTCCCACCAAAGGCATAGAGAACAAAGCTTTTGATCGTAATACAGAATCTCTCTTTGAAGAACTGTCTTCAGCTGGCTCAGGCCTAATTGGAGATGTGGATGAAGGAGCAGATTTACTAGGTATGATAGCTTATCTGAAGAAGTATCATACTGTTTTAAAAATAGATTTTTTTTAAATGATTTAATTGAAAATTCCTTTAAAATGTCCCTAACTGATCAGTAGCACACAGTTATTACACTTTCAGGTAATTAATAGGAATATATTCTTTGAGATCATGAAAGTTTTAAATCAAAGCATCTTTGTATATGGATATCCCTCAAATTGAATTGCACTTTAATTTGTATTTTGAAATTCATACAGCACATTTTATTGAACACATGCCAAGAACAGTATTACACATAAGGAGCACTGTGTATATATATGGGTGTGTGGGGAAGGGGGGGATGTGTAGATGTATAGATTGATAGGTAGGTAGTTCTTGGCTTTAGATAGATTTTTTAAAATTCTGTTGACCTTAATTAAATAAGAAAATATAACACTTGTTTTTTCCTGAGATTTCACAGAATATTCTGTTTTAGCTCTATGAGAAATGTAACCATTTTAGAGTTTGTGTTGTTGAAGAACACCTGGTTTGAAAAGAATACTGCATTTGGCTTTTTCCATTATTTATCTGGTATCCTTTGCCAAATAGCTTAACCTCTCCTGGCCTTAGTTTCTTTGTGTATAAAATGAAGGAGCCGGATTCGAGTTCAGGGATTGAGCAAACTGTGGCTCATGGGTCCAGATCCAGCTCATCTATGTGTATGAATAAAGCTTTATTGGAACACAGCTACTCTCATTTGTTTACTTACTGTCTGTCGTTGCTTTTGCACACAACAGCAGAGTTAAGTAGTCTATAACAGAGATCATATGGCTTTACAAAGACTTAAAATTTACCGTCTGACCCTTTACAGAAAGAATGTATCGACTCCAGCTCTAGGTGATCTCTCAAGTCTCTTTGAACAATAATTACATGGTTCTGACTTTACGTCAGTTAGCTGTGGCATACCTTTCTTACAACTTAAGATCTTACAGAGATTGAAAGCCGTATAGTATTAAAAACCCATGCCTTTGGAATAGATGGTGGTCTTGAAGAAATTTATGTATCTATTATGTAGCTTTTGGTGTAATTATAATACAGACTACAGTGTCCTCAAAAGGTTCTTTTGGTCAATTTTTGTGAATATGGAGTGGGATTCCTTGCATTAATTTGTGTTAAATTTATTGATTACCATTATGTCCTCAAAAGTTTGAAGTATTTTTTGAAGGAAACATAAGTTCTTTCTGTATGGAGCTCACAGTCTATCTAGTAAGAGAGACTGCAAGTTTGTTATAAATAAAAACTTTCTGAGATACACATAGACCCCCACCATTAAAGTGTAAGTTAAGTATTAGAAGCAGTTGAATGAGTTTGTATTTCTCAAGGAGGGCTAAAGATGAGTTCTTAAGGAACCCCCCATTTTTTTTTTTTTTAAGATTTTATTTATTTATTTGAGACAGAGAGAATGAGAGAGAGCACATGAGAGGGGGTAGGGTCAGAGGGAGAAGCAGGCACCCTGCCGAGCAGGGAGCCCGATGCGGGACTCGATCCAGGGACTCCAGGATCATGACCTGAGCCAAAGGCAGTCGCTTAACCAACTGAGCCACCCAGGCACCCAGGAACACCCCATTTTTAAATTTACACTTTAACTTTAGTTAACATTAAATTATGAATGAAAAGTTCGTTTTACAAAACTGAGTCCCTGGCAAAATTAAAGTGTAGAGATGCAAAAAATGTTAGAAAGAAGAATTTTTAAGTGTTTAAATTTATATTCAAGTTTATATACAGTAAAAATCACTCTTTATGATGAATTTTTTAACCTTTGACAAAAGCATGGAGTTGTATAATCACTACCAGAATCAGTTTACACCCCCCAAAATTCCTTCATGCTGCTCCTTTGTGTTTAACTAGAATGAAGTACTTTTTAATGCAGTTTGTATACTCTGCTACTTCATAATCCAGTATTGAATAATACAATTTTTGAGGTTGGTGGTCCCAAACTTTCCTTTTTTTGTAAAGAGTTAAGAAGCCACAGAGTACTTAGAATTAATTGTGGTCTTTTAAAATCTTGTGTTTTCTGAAAGCTTCCATTCTTTGAGTCAGAAGATTAAGCATAATGAATAGGTTAAAAGCAAAATCCTGATACTCTGGTTTTCTTTCTACTTTGAAAATAAGAAATAGACTGTAAACTGGTGTCTTTTCCCTTTTGCAGATATTGATATATTTATCTCTAAAATGTTCCAGATTAGAAGTTTTTACTGTATTACCTTAAGTCTGTAGTGACTTAAACCTGCATGAATCCCTTTTGGTCAAAGATGGTAAATGAAATTTCCAAGGCACATATCTGTTCCCTGGCTTCTCTTCTATACAATTTTGTGATAGCAATTGAGGTGTAATACTAAATGGAATATAGTGAAACTAACAAAATTGTTTTCCAGAGTTCTTTAATTGATCTCGGGTTAATAAATAAGTACATAGTCCATTTCTGTAACTCCATTCATTTTCTCCATCACTGTATTATTGTAAAACTCTTCTCTTTCTCGAGGATATAAATTTTTGCAATCATTATGCATATACTCCACATTTAGATTATTTTTTTCTGATTTTAATAATTTAAAAGAGGTAAACCCCTCCCCACCCCCCAATTGTCCTTGTCTCTTGACTTTCTTATCTTTGTCTGATCCTTTTTTTTTTTTTTTTTTAAAGATTTTATTTATTTATTTGACAGAGATACAGCGAGAGGAGGAGCGCAAGCAGGGGGAGTGGGAGAGGGAGAAGCAGGCTTCCTGCCAAGCAGGGAGCCTGATACGGGGCTCGATCCCAGGACCCTGGGACCATGACCTGAGCTGAAGGCAGACGCTTAATGACTGAGCCACCCAGGCGCCCTGTCTGATCCTTTTTCCATTCATTTCAGGCATGTACTCCCCACAGCCACACTCTAGAACTTGGAAATCATATATCCTACTCTTGGGATTTTTTTTCTCTTGATTATCCTTCTATATTTTCAACCTCACTATCTTTACTTCTTCTATTATCATTTAAACATGTTCAGATCTCTTCCATTTAAAAACGAACGTATGGCCTGGCCCTCCTCTGCCACTCTTATCTTCAGTACCTTTGTACCCTATCACTCCTTTTGCTTCCATATCTGGTCCTACTTTTATGCAGCAATATTGAAGAGGTATCTGTTATGTGTTTGACACTATTCTAGATGCTTGTGATACATGAGTGAACAAAGCAGCCTTCTTGAAAGTGTAGCTGCTTTTAAGTGGCAGGATTTCCCCTTTCCCACTTGGATCTCATCCCCCTGTAGTCTGTATCGGCATTCTTCCCCCACTCACCTGACGTGAAACAGCCTTCTTGTTTGCTATATCCAGCGGTTCCTTCTACATCCTTTCACAGGACTTCTCAGATAACATTTGTCTTTAACACCTTCTTTCCTGGATTTCTGTGATAACAGACTTTCCTGCCTCTGACTATATTCTTTTTCAGTCTTTGCAGGATCCTCTTCCTCTGCCCATCTTTCAGGATGTCAGTGTCCCAGGCCTGCTTCTTTGTTTGGGAAATCTTATTTGCTTTTGTTTCTTGGCTTTCATGGAAAATTGCTCCACAATTTTTATCTCCTTCCAACATCTTTTTCTAGAGCCCCAGACTGTTACTTCAGAACAGCCCACGAGACACCTCTAAAGTGATTTGTAGGGCTTTACACCTGATGTGCCTAAAGCTCAGTTCATCATGTTCATTGTCCTGTTCAGGGCTGTTCTTAGTCCAGCACGTACTGTCTCAGTCAGTGAATGCCTCACCATCCACTCAGTTCTCCATTCAAAATCTCTCCCTCTTCTCTTGGAACCAATCACCAAGGTTTGTTTACTCCTTTTCTTTAAAAAAAAAAAAAAAAAAAATCTGTATAACTTCTTTTTCCCCATGCCTCTGCTTAAATGGCATATCCTCCTATTGGAATTCTGCCTTGATCCCCTAGTTAAAGCTTAATTGTCCCTGAAATGTATTCTCATGGCACTCATTTTCTTTATTATGCCACTCTGTATACTTTACTGTAATGTTGTATGTACTCATCTCTCTGGGTAGGCTCTAAGCTCAATGTGGCCAAGACAACTTTGTCCATTGCTCACTATTGAGTCTTTAGCACCATAGCACAGCGATTAAGTGAATATGGATTGCTAAGTAGTTCTAATGGCTTTATTTCACCTCTGATTCTATGATTCTTCACCTTTTAGGATTAAAACTCCTTTATGGGAGAATTTGTAAGAAAGCAGTGTGCTTTTGTAAAAATGCATGTATAGGTAGACAAAATCGTGCATACTTTCTCAAGGGATTAACAGATACTTTGGAGGCCCAACTATGGACCTAGCTTGAGGGTTGTTGCTAATCTGCCAGGCAGTTTTTTGCTTGTTTTAATAGGTAAAGTTTTCAAATATGTTAGACCTAAGTTATGTTTTTCTTATAGTAATGAGTTAATTTTTATCAATACATTTCAAAATGAAAATTTTGGATAATCCTATTGACCATATATTGACTTTATAAACAAGATTTTGAGAGAACTCTTCACTGAGAACGTGTAAACTTTAGAAACTACATTATCAGATATGATTCCCAAGGAGTACATATTTCAAAATTTTTTCTTATTTATAATATTTACACTTTATTGTGTTTGTTTCTCTACATCTTCTAAATTTTATTGTTTCCTCTCATTGAAACAAATGAGCATATTTCTTGCTTTCTGAAAACAATCTAATTGTGATTCTCATTCATTTTTCTCTTGGGCTGCTTACCCAGGGGAATATTCTGGTGTGTATGCTTTTAAATACTTTAATATTACTGCTTCTTAAGCAAGGTGTTCCTGGCTGCTCTTCTCATGTAATGCTTTCTCATCATTTTTTTCTGCTCAACTATTTTTTTTTTTGCCTTCCATATATTTTCAGCTTTTATGCTTATCTCCCTACATGCTTGAGAGTTTATAGCAAACATAGTCATTACATAAGCTTTTTTCAACCAATCTAAACCTATTTCTTCTGATTATATAGCTTTATTGAAAGTTAACATTAGTCAAAAGCAAATATTTCAGCATATCTTGCCAAAATTCATTTTGGAATTAGAATTTGGAAACCTTTTTAGTTTGTCTTTATTTTTACCTTTTGGAGAATACATAGATGATTGAATAAGCTACTATGTGTGATATTTAATTCTTCATGGTAGTAGTACCCTGATCTTTGAGAATATTTGAGATAATTATAATACAGACAAAATATGAGTACATATGTGAGCAGTGATTTTTAGCATTCCTAGGTTGGTTTTGTTTTAAATTATCTTTAAGTCATTTGAAATAACTAACTTTTAAAAAAGGGACATGTTAACTCCTTTTCCTTATGTAGTTTTCTTAGGATTTCCTTCCTGTATAGCTGGGTTATATGAATATTACTTACTCCGTTGTATATAGTTTTCCAACATTAGCTTAGGATAAGTGAATGGTGGGTCTTTGGCTTTGCTTTGTTTTGCCTTTTTGTTTTGTAACTTTTTGAGATACATTCCCTAGTGTGTGGTTTTATTTCTTCAGTTTCTTTTAAGTAGCAAATTAAAGAACTTTCTTCTCCCTAAAGATCATTGCATTGGATCTTGCATTGAATGCTCTGTCTGCCTTACAGTCCTCATTAAATTATTAAACAGGATTCTGTAAAGTAATAACTGAACATTATCATTTCAGAGGTGGCACTTTGAAGGAAACTTTATATTATTGATGTGGGATTTTCAGTCTAATTATTCAGTTTCATTGTGCAAAAGAATTGGTAAAGCATTTTTTTTTTTAGGTATTACGTATCAAAGAGCATCCTTATGAATGGAGGAAATCATCTTAATTTCTGTCTTTTGCACATCATTATGCATTAAATCATAACACTGATCCCAGGTGTATTTCATATCATGCATAAAACTTTACAGTTTAATAATCTATTTTCATGCTGTTTCTTACATAAAACATTTCTTGTTCTTTGTTTTTGCTTTACATGGAATGCATGGGCTTTAAGACCATAATTTCTTTGGTAAGGTTTCATCTGCATTGGGGTTCCGTCTTTCTTTGGCCTTGTTTCTGCCTGTTCTTTCTTAGTAAGACCTAATTTTTAGGCAAAAGCCTACAATACCAGCTGTGATTTGGAAATGATTTCTGATCTGTACTAATGCTTACTCTTTTTTCCTCTAAATATTTTACTGCTATTTTTTAGAATATTTGGCAGAAAAGTCTTGATTGTATTGAAATAATTATCTATGAGAAACAAAATATAGACTAACAGAAAGAATTGGCTAACAAAATCTTTAGCTTTGTTTTGTGATGGATAATTATTTATAATTTTATAACCTATACAAGTAGATATATCAAATGAAATTATAGACTAAGGTTACTAAAGGACAGATAAAATCTATAAATTAAAATTTGAGTCTCTATTATAATACAAGTTTATATAGTTTTTGATAAATTTTTTGAAAGGTTTTATTTATTTATTTATTTATTTTGGTAGGAATGGGTCGTGAAGTTGAGAATCTTATATTAGAAAATACACAACTGTTGGAAACCAAGTAAGTATATACAAAAATTCTTTTTTAAAGATTTTATTTATTTTTTCTGAGAGAGAGAGCGAGCGCGCACAAGCACGGGGGAGGGGCAGAGCAGAGAGAGAAGTAGGCTCCCCGCTGAGCAGGACCCTGGGATCATGACCTGAGCCAAGACAGACACTTATCCACTGAGCCACCCAGGCACCCCAGTATATACAAAATTTTAACAAGGAACACAAGATACTGAATTTTCTCATCTGAGTCAGTGACCCTTGTTCAGTTTAACACAGCATGTGACTACAGTCTAGCCACCCTGTTTTGTTCCTCTTCGTGTGTTTGTGTGCGTGCATAGCACGCACAAGTAAATGGGCAATGGGACCTGATTTCCCTAATGGATAGGTTTTGTTGCTCTGTTTTTTGCAGAAATAGGTTTTTATCTCCTTTCCACCCTACAGGTGTTCATGCCTTTCTCTTAACCTCCTTGGATAGATCAGATGTTTTTTTTTGCTCCCTCCCCTAGGATGCCTATTTTATTATCTTTTCTTCTGGGGTTTCTTTATTTCTACATAAATGTTTTGATCTATACCCCAGCCCAGCTCTCCTCCATAGTTGTCGGTTTTCAGGTGTAATATGTGGAGCCTTAGACCCTCAAACATATTGGAGTCTTGTTTAGTGAGGCAGGTCCTGAGTCCTGTGGAAAAGCAGCCCAGGTCCCTTTGTTAATTTGCTGTGTCAAGAGAACTTTGGAACATCTGGGTAGATCCAAAATAGAAGGCAGTTATGAGGTACTATGCCCACTTGTACCCAAAAGAACTAGATCTTAGATTTTTTTTCCCCATGAACATTCTGTCAAAAACCAATGATGTACTGGCTAATTGGATTTAAATTAAAAAAAAAAAAAAAGAATTTTTTCCCCTAGATCCACCCCAAGTTTAGACTTTTATCTCATCAATTATTAAAGATTCAAAGATAAATTTCCTTTTTGATTAGGTAATATTTTTTTCAGAGTTTAACAACAGTACCCTTATGGATGCTATTTTGTAAAAGTTTAATCTTCATTAATTGTGGTATTTTTATTAGTTGGTGGTCTGTTTTGCTTTACCCATTTATTGTTTGTAAGTGGAAATAGCAAAATCTTGGATGGTTGTGTGTTTTTTTGTCTTTACCTACAAACAACACCAGGTAGAGTATCTTAAAATACTCCGTTATTCAGCTTTGATTGTATAGTTATTTTCGTCTGTAAGAGAACAAGCTGAAAGACAGGAAGAGTACTCATTTGTAATGATATATGCGAAATATGTGTTTCTTAGACATGCTTTGAATGTAGTGAAGAACGACTTGATAGCTAAGGTGGATGAGCTGACCTGCGAGAAGGACGTGCTGCAGGGGGAGCTGGAGGCTGTAAAACTAGCCAAGCTGAAGCTCGAGGAGAAGAACAAGGAGCTGGAGGAGGAGCTTAGGAAGTAAGTTTCCTGGGTGGTGTTCTGAACCCAGCTCTCTTAGCCAGCGGGCCACAGAGGGTCATAGGTGTCCCCCCGAGGCTGGCCCTGCCGCCACCGCCGGCAGCCTTCTCCAGCGGGCCAGGAGCACCAGCTGCCAGGAGGGTCAGGGCCAAGTGCCCGGTGGTGGCTCAGATATCAGCGCGCCCCTTGCTTGCCCAGCCTTATCATTTCACTTTCTGTGGCTGTCACTGTGTGAGAAAAATCAGTGGAACCATTCTAAAATTTGCTAATAAGGAAATTAGAAACATTATTTTCCTTCACCCAGCTTTCTTTAATACTTGTTTTTTTCTGAGAACAGTGTTGCACTAATGTTCCCCGAAGTGAAGGCAGCTAAATACTCTGAAAAGAGAATAATCATTTAGTGTTGATTAAAATTTTTGACCTACTCTTTCATTCCTTGAAAAGATGAACACAACTCAAATAACATGTTCTTTTTTTTTCCCCACCAGAGCTCGTGCAGAAGCCGAAGATGCACGGCAAAAAGCAAAAGATGACGATGATGTAGGTTTATGATTTCAGACTTTTTTTCTTACTACATTTTGGTTTTTAAAGAAAATCTTGCTAATTAAGCTTTGGATATAGCATTATAAAAAGAAAGAAGATCTCTGTGTTAATGAGTAGGCTACCTCATGCTCCCACATGGTATCCAGAGGCTGAGCTTTCTGGCTACATGTGGTGTGCTCATTTTTTTTTCTGTGGCTCTGTGCTGTGACCTTGTTTGCAAGTTCAAGCTCAAGGACCAGCCGAAACATTTTGTTTTGTCTCATATTTTGACTTAGAAATATGAAAGCTTAATTAGTTGTTTAAAAGTATTAAACATAAAAAAGATGAATTCTAGGACTTTATTTTTTTATTTTATTTATTTATTTATTTTTAAAGATTTTATTTATTTGAGAGAGAGAGAGACAGAGATAGCAAGAGAGAGCA